AACATCAAATTGATTCACATCACTTAGATCTGGTCTTTTTCAGGAACGTTGACGCCACTAGAGGTAGTATTACATGGTCTATATTAATTATGATCGAAAAGCGTGAAGTGAGGCGCAACCTTTTAGACCTTGCGACATGAAATCTAGGATAATATCAGAAACCGGCTGTGGAATTTCTTGACTTCGGCTGTCTATCTCGAGTGTCGGATAAAGATCTGTTGCGCAAGTGAAACAAATAATCACAACCATTCTGAAACGCACGGGTTCAGTATACGCATATCCCTTTATGAAACTTATTCGCAACAACTGCTCTTCCAACACTTTCAGTTAGTTCGACTAAGAGAGAGTTGTTAAACGGCTCGGGAGTCTATTCAGTGCCATAGAGAAATTAGTGCTTCTTCAGTTGCACAAAAAAAACGAATCGCCGACCTTGGAGTCCTAAACCAACGACATGGCGCTGAATTTCTTTTGAGGTGTGATTGGCCATAATGACGCACTGGAAAAACTTCAACACTTTCCGGCTGACAGATTCAATACAGTTGTAGATGCATGGTGTTGAGTGAATTTTTGTTGAGTGACCTCGTAAATGTACATATTTTTTAAAGGGTGATTCAGGGATTGACCTTTCAAACCTTTTCCCTCCCTCCAGAATACATTTACGAGGTCACCAGAAGAAGGTGCTCAAACCAAGGTCGAATAAAATACGTTTGGAGTTTAGATTCTCTCCCAGAGTGGTCAACGACTGGAACTCCTTACCTGACTCAGTAGTACCAGCTCCATCGGTGGACGCTTTCAAAGAGAAACTGGATCTCTGCAGAGATATATATCGCGAGGATTAACATAGGCAACAAGAGCCTTCTATCCTTATAATCTGAATCTAAGATAAGTGGGGGAGGTTTGAGATGTAGGGTAGAATCAACTATTCGTGAAACCCTGATTTTTAAACGACAGCTATCCCGTCGACTAGTCACTGGAGATATGTTTATCATGTTTTTCTGTGAATGCCTACAAGATAAAAGCGAGCTGTCATGAAGACATCTATCACCAGAAATGTGTCTTTAACACAAAACTATTGAAGCCTCATCATAGTGATTCATTGTTCAAAAAGGAATATATGTAACTGGACAGTTGCTAACTTAACTAATTTTAGGCTTACTATGCTTGATAATATTAAGTCAATTAGTACATTATCTCTAGATAAAGCCTGAAATATGTTGCATAGAGTACTTGGAACATACCCTCGTCTGATCGTTTGAAAGCCCTTCGAAGTGCCCATAGCATTCGAAAAGCCTTAACTGCGGCTCGATTACAGTTTACCATTGTTTTTAAGTCATGGCTAACAATAATTCTTAAGTCCTTTTGTTCCCTAACATCTGGCAGTTCTGTGTCCCCAATGGAGTACGACGTGTAAGACTTCTGACCTAGGTGCATTACCGCGCTTTTCCTGGAATTAATTTCCAGACTCCAAAGGTTAGCCCATTCGGCTAATTTGTCTAGATCGTTTTGTAGTACCAACCTATCATCGCTACTATTTACGGTTTTCCATATCCTAATATCGTCCGCAAATAGTAAGGAAGATGAGGTAAGAATTTTTGGCACTTCATTTACGTATAATTAGAATAGCAGGGGGCCAAGTACCGTTCCCTGAGGTACTCCACTTAGTACTGCTTCCCACCCTGACAGTACACCATTAACCCTTACCTGCTGCCTCCTATCCATCAGGTAGTCACTAAACCACTCGCATAAGCGTTGGTCTAATCCAAAGTGTTTAAGTTTACTAAGAAGACCTAAGTGGGATACCTAATCGAATGCTTTACTAAGATCGATAAATACAACGTCCAGTAGATGGTTTTTATCCCTGGCCTCGACCCAGTCTTCCCTAGCTAATAGCAAGTTTGTCAAGCAGGATCGTCCTGGTCGGAATCCATGCTGTTCCACTGCCAGTAAGCCATGTTTTTCCGTATGAGCTAAGAGCTGGTCCCTTATGAGTTTTTCTAACACCTTTGCTATAATGCAGGTCAGACTCACAGGCCGGTAGTTAGATACTAACTGCCTGTTCCCATCTTTGAAGATGGGGCTTATAAAAGCATCTTTCCAGTCTCTGGGTAACCTAGCGTGGGTCAGAGACATCTGAAAAATCTCCGTAAGTGGAATGTATATTATATCCGCCAGGGAGATTAGCAATCTAGGGTGAAGTCCGTCTGGTCCAGGTGATTTACCTGGCTTCAACTTAGTAGTTTCAGAACCATTGCATCATCTACCACAATTGGGGGCATTTTAGGGGCTACATCAGTTACCTCGCTACACCCCTGGGTGGTACGATTAGGCGAGAAAATATCACAGAAATATTCGGAGAGCTCCTCAGCTTTTGTTTCGTCTGATTCTGCAGCCTCTCCTGTGTTGCTAATGAGGGACGGTATGCCACTACTAGTTTTAGTCCTGCGTTTGATATACGAGAACAGTCTTTTTGGATAATGCACACAATCCAGTACTAACTGTCTCTCATACTCTATACGACTTTTGTCAATCTCATACTTGCAAAGGTTTCGAACTTTGCGGTATTCTACCCGAAACTCATCCCTCCCAGTCACAGCAAACCGGTCCCATAAGTTCTTTCGTTTTCTTAGTAACCTCCTTATTTCATTGCTAATCCAAGGTGGTTTATGAGATAATTTTCGAGGCGTAGACCAAGGTACAAAGGGTGCAGTGACGCACTCTAGTGTATTCCTAAATCCCATCCAAGCCTCCTCGACAGTCTGGTGTGTGTTAACAGACCAGCCAGCTAGGGTTGCTGCATTTCGGATTGCAGGTATATTCGCTTTCCAAACGTTTGGGCAAGCGGCTGTTGACCTATGTATGACGGCCTGGATCCTGAACATAAAAGTAATAACTATGTGGTCACTACTACCTAGCGGCGCCAGGCACCTAATGTTACCAACATCCTCTTTCTGGTGTGTTAGCGCCAAGTCTAGAATGGACGGATCATGTTCAGGATGGTATCGTGTTGGTGCATCCATATGCTGCACAAGTGCACATTCAAGTACTGCCAGTATTAGTTCCCTATTGAAACAATTGTACGAAGTAGCTGATGTTAATTCCTCCCAATTAATATGCGGGGCATTAAAATCATCTACTATTAGACACCTATTCTTTCTACTCCACGTCCTGAGGTGATTTATAACGAAATTGTCAGCTTGGCTTGTAGGACTTCTATAAATAACCCCTATCGTTACAGTGCCTTTGTTCAAGTTAATGACACAACCTGCGGCTTCACAGGTGCCACTGTCATGAGCTTCCGACAACGTCGACCTAATTCCTATGTCATCTCGAATGTATAAAGCGACCCCCCCCACCTTTCCGACTACTTACCCTGTCTGCTCTAATGCAGATGTACCCAGGTATGAGTGGAGTTAAGTCTATACCCATTAACAACCATGTTTCGGTGATAGCAATCACATCCGGCTGTAGTTCCTCAGTCAACACTCCTAGTTCGGGAAGCTTATTCCTAAGACTACAAGCGTTCGTGTAGCATACTGAGAGACCTATGTGTTCACTCGACTTATGAACAGAGGTCTGGGCAACATAGGTTTCCGAGACCTCACTACCCGAAAACCCAACAGTTTGAGGTATTTTTCACCTTTTTCTAATCGGGTCTTTAATTCAGCCACAGCTTTTCTTCTCCTAATTCTATCTTCCAAAGGCCAGTCTGGCCTAATTCTCATTTTTTTTATTCTTGATCTTGAATGCGCTGTTGAGAATAATAGTTTTCTCCATCTCGTTCCCCAGTACTACCTTCAGTAGTCGTGGGGAACTTTCCGTTGCATCGGCGATTCGTTTACCGATTCTGATGACTTTCCTTATGTGAACACCATTTGTTTTTTCCGGAAGTATTTCACGGATGATGGAGCTAACTATTTCGAGATCGTCAGCATGTCGAGCAGCTGGATCTACCTTCTTCGATTCCTCCAAATTCCAAATTACTATACTGTAATTTGAGTCCGAAGGTTTGATCTTATCAGTGTTTACGGCCGTTGAGACCTTATCACTAACCACAGTACTTTCCTCTTTCTTATGATTCTTGATCTTCCTACTCTTTGGCACTAGCCAGGTGGAATCAGATGGTTCCACATTACTCTCGCCGCAGTTGGAAGCTGTGCGTTCACCAGACACGCAACGCTTCATCGCTGTGTCTTACAATGTTGGCACTGTTTGCCCTCCTAGGTTTTCGGGGCTTTTTGCGTACTATTGCAGACTGCTGGGCACACTTCACCTCTGTTGCTTCTTTCGAAGCTAGGGGATGTGGTTCTGTCTCAGTCTTATGACTAAGGCCAGAATCCTCGCTTATAACATCTGTACTAGATGCTGCAGTTTTCCCCTCATCAGAGGTTTTTGGTAACTTCTTGGACATGAGAAGTCCTACGGCCACTTGGATGAGGACATCCAACGGATTTGTACAAAATTTGCACATCCACGGAGATGACGGCTTGCTGCTTCTCCTATAGGCTGATGGTGATAGGCCAGTGCAAACTTTATGGAACCATAGGTTGCAGTTATCACACTGCATCCCATCTTCCACCGGAAAGTGGCAGTCCGGTCGTCCACAACTATTTGTGGGACTCATGTCAGTATAAGCTGTTTAAGTTACACACAAATATGTATATATATAAACCTAAATACAGAGATATAAAAACACAAAAAGTCGCAAAAGTGCACAAAAATAGACACTGCTTCACCTAATTAAACCAGTTAAAGCAAACCAAAAAGCTTCTGATGCGATTTACACAACAAAAGCAGAAGTTGGTTCACAAAGTAAAAAAATGCCGCTCTGCTTTTCGAAGCGCGAATCCACAGTTTCATTTGTTTGCCTTGCTAAACTGTTAAAGAGAGACGAATATTAAAAAGAGAACTCCGTTGTTCACAATATTCTGCTTCTTATTAATATATCAAATGCCAAATCATAGTTCTACCGTTGAAAATAAAAAACACAACAGCAGCGTTACCTGTCAGGCGGATAGCGCGGCATGTCAGGGAGACCTTGAAACGAGGACACAATCTATTCAATAAAACTTTATTATAAATATACATAGGTGTAATATATATGAAAAGTTACTGTTGAAACATCAAATTGATTCACATCACTTAGATCTGGTCTTTTTCAGGAACGTTGACGCCACTAGAGGTAGTATTACATGGTCTATATTAATTATGATCGAAAAGCGTGAAGTGAGGCGCAACCTTTTAGACCTTGCGACATGAAATCTAGGATAATATCAGAAACCGGCTGTGGAATTTCTTGACTTCGGCTGTCTATCTCGAGTGTCGGATAAAGATCTGTTGCGCAAGTGAAACAAATAATCACAACCATTCTGAAACGCACGGGTTCAGTATACGCATATCCCTTTATGAAACTTATTCGCAACAACTGCTCTTCCAACACTTTCAGTTAGTTCGACTAAGAGAGAGTTGTTAAACGGCTCGGGAGTCTATTCAGTGCCATAGAGAAATTAGTGCTTCTTCAGTTGCACAAAAAAAACGAATCGCCGACCTTGGAGTCCTAAACCAACGACATGGCGCTGAATTTCTTTTGAGGTGTGATTGGCCATAATGACGCACTGGAAAAACTTCAACACTTTCCGGCTGACAGATTCAATACAGTTGTAGATGCATGGTGTTGAGTGAATTTTTGTTGAGTTTGTAGGCTGACGAAAATATCTTTTTTGGACCCAGTCGGCTGTGAGTTGCAAGGTTAACTATGTTTGCAAACAGATGGTTCCAGTTGATGTCTGTTTCATTTAGTATTGATTTACGCCTTTTGAGACTAACTTTAATTTTACATTAGGAGGTACCTTGAAAAGCATATTCTTTTTATCAGTGTGGTTCGAAACAAACGACCACCAAACTTGGAGAACAACTGTGACAGATATGAATATCCTTTCTATAGTAATAATGGCATGGGCGATGTGCTGGTCATTGAGGCTAGCTTCACTACACATAATCAACCAGAAATAAAGTGTGAATATCGAAAGCGTGTACGACACGATGGAAGCTATGGCAGCCACACTACCCCGTGCTGCTTTAACTGCCCGGCCTTTCTAGATGCTAATGGCGTCAAGGTTCGTAGAGTGATAAGAATTTGGGTGGACTCATACAGGTTGCGGGCAGTAGTGAAAACTGTAGAAGAGTGTGCGTTGGTCAGTTGTTTGGTTCGTAACTTAGAACAAGACAAAGTTGTGCAGCTACGTACCTAATTATGAGATGGTTGGAGGCAACTAGTGGGAAGCCTTGGACCTAGGTTTTGTGCTTGCTGACACTCACCACTCACCAAGAAGTATCTGCATTCCTGAAGAAACTGGGCGACTTTATTGCATATGCCCTCAATGACGCTTGTCGCTATGTTGCTATTGGTTTCAAGTGGCCTTGGTTTTGGGGGAAGATTTAACTGATGTAATATTGTGATTTCATAGACATAACTCAGGCTCATACGTGAACGAAAGTTATTATCCTCTAATAAGGAAAAGTTGTTCAGAAGGTAAGGAGGACGTTATTTTTCAGTTTATTTGTGTATATACTATTGTGCATCGAGTTGCACTGAGTTCTTAGTGCAACTGTATGTAACTGCATTTACATAAAGTGAAACATTACGAATGCTCCTGTTTCTAGAATAAAAGACATTATTATTATCATTAAGTTTAGTAATGAAGAATGGAATTTCTTCAACGTCAATGTTATTTAATTGAAGTTGTAATCTGTGTAGGCCCTTGGAGGAATAAATTCGGCATGGAGAACTCCTATGTAAACCGAAAGTGCTTTTAGTTTAGTAAATCTTACTGACTTCCTGTATAAATTTGATATTTGTCAAGTGTTTACTTAAAATCTGCTGGAGTATTCAGTAAAGTAAAAGTTGTAGTGCATAATTCCAAGACTTGTTGTAGTCATTGGTATTGCCAGGATACCACTTACTCGTTTTATGCAACCGAAATATACAAATCTCGCTTTATTGAGGAAACACTATAATGCCTGCAAAAGTATTGCGTCAGTTAATGAGTTTCATAAATTTTACAGAATGTTTTCTATTCATTGATTAATGTTTGCGAATTATCCGAGAAAACACATTTCCAATTGGGATGTAACACAAGGCTGAATTCTTAAACTGTCATCCTTATATCATTTCAATCCAATCACACATATATCAGTAGGATAGTCTATAAATGACTTTAGAGACTTATTATCATCATCAACTTACAGTTTGCTGATGATACTGTACACCTAAACTATGAGAAGTAACCCCTGATACTGGAAGATATGAAAAGAATACCGGTGTTTGATTATAGGTGTCTGTGTTCTATCTCATGAGTAAAGCAGTATAATATGGCGATTGCTGTTGAGGTTACGCATAAAGTGTATGAAAGGGTAAGTTAGTCTTCAAGGTAGGGAAGCTGAATAGGTTGAGATGGCTATAACACGTGATGGCATAGCAAGCCATCGCCTTCCTTGAGGGATAATGTTAGCCAGCACATGTTAAGGTTCCAAATGTGTTTGGGTCGGCCAAATGAAAAGCTGGTATTGGTTCATAAAATCGTTGACAGTCAGCTAGAAGAACTACTAGATGTATGTCTGCAAGTCTTTGTTCATGGCACAGATGCATTCACTCTGTGTAATCTCACGTATCTATTCAACTCATGTTGTCACTATTTATTTTCCCTCAAATTTTCGCTCGTTAAACTTCCATTTAGTTTTATGTCTCTACCTTTGTGTGGTGCATGGAATGTGGTAAACTGAACAGTTGGACTTCTTTGCGAAGTCATACTGAAAGCCAGGCAGAATGACACAGGCATACCTTTCAGGTGTCGCAGCTTTAACAAGAAGATATAAAAACCTGCGTACAAAACGATTTCGAGTCTAAATGCAACAAGATTAATTACATTCACCTCACCTTCCTGCTGAAAGCCCGGCATACATGAAATGCACAGATGACGATTTTCGCCTGAATTTGACTATTACGCACGGCGGATATCTCACAGTTGGCCGAATCCATTACGAAAGTTTCTGTAATGGACGTATCCTGCATTATTCTTTGGAATTGTTCCAATATCCAAGTTAAATCACATGACCTCTCTCGTCTCGTCCATGCCAAAAAAACAGGCCTACCATGACCCATATTGTCTGTTACCACCAACTGAAACAGAGAATACCTGATTAAGATTTGTCAACCGTTTCACGTATAACCTACCCGTCCTTATTGGTATTGTATGTTGAGTCAATATACACCACCTCTCCACATTTCCGATATAACTGAACCTGTGATTCCAGGACGAAGCAAATTCTGCTGGTTATCCCTGTATTCGAATCCACGTATTCAACCACCTGACCGCTTTGCCTTATTATGCGCATAACATCTGATCTCAAAGGCATGGCTTCAAAAATAACTTTAAACTACTTCAATTACCTGGTCTCACATCCTTACGTAAATTATACACATCTGTGCTCGTCAAAATTTTATTAAAATTCTCTTCAGCATATTCCAAAACATCACCAACCTCAGATGTAGTCTTCACAACTGGTGCAATATTCTCCTTTTCATCCCCGGACAGGCGTCTAAAATATGGATCACCTATCATAAGACTTTGTTCACATCTGTGATTGTGAACTGTTTTCGCGGAAGAAATGATAAACTCGTCCTCCTTGTAGCGTATACGAAAGCCAGATTGGCAACCGGTGTATTTTGCACTGCAGAAATAAATAATAGAATTCTTACGGTTTGACGCGTAAACCTGAACCTCTAGTTTTTCGCTTCATGCCATATGTACAACGAAAGACTACTAATTTGTACTTCAACTCCTGAGATTCATGGTCCCGTATGCACTTTTTGATTACATAATGTGTATGAGTTGCCTAGGGATACTCTGTCATACATATATACATATATTACTGATTCCAGCTGACTTAGAGCATCTTCTACTTGAACCCAACTGGTATACCGGCGACTAAACATAATTCCGTCAAAAAGTTTTTTGATATCCACTGATATAGGAAGGGCAGGTTGGTTGCCATTGTCTCCAAGTGCCAATGCGTCCATTCGGTACCACTGTAAATGAAAACAGAAGCTTTTCAACAAGAAATTCATGAATAGCCAACAAAGTACAGTAAGCAACTTAAAAGAGACATTGACTTGGAAACTATAGCGGAAAAAAATATAAATTCCTTACCACAGTTACCGTTTCGGAAAGTTCCTGATTATAGCCACAAACATTTACTGAAACACTCGTGAACGACAAATATGGACACAAGTGATGAAACAAAGCTCTACAGAAATTATTGAGACGCCACAAACAGGAGGATTTTAGGTGCACCCTATAATTTTCACATGAAACACATTCTCAAGCATCCTCCTGCACCATAACTGCCTTCAGGCCTAGAGGCAGCTTTTGACGACTATTCTTAACAAAATCAATACAGTTCAAGCCAAATAGAAACCAGAATCACGTCAAATGCAGCCACCTAGATCAAACGAAACAAATCAGCCAAACTGAAATCAACTAGACCGCGCAAATGTCCTCAAGGTAAAGCTGGGAGCGCCACTTCAAACAGAGGATATGCCTTATCAACGCCCGAAGAAACTCATACCCTTTGTGATATTCAAACCTGTGTCACACAGTGCTCTCGATTGACCTGCTGTAGGCCTGCATTAGTTACTTCCATCGGACACTAACTGATGTCATGACTGATGGAGAGCCATCTAGCATAACAGCCACACTGCAACAAACAAGGAACTGGACGCATGAAATTAGTTAGTGTTCAACCAAATTAACCACGTGCTCAGTCAACGACGAGAGTAACTTAATCCCTGCATGAGAACAGTGTGTTCTGTGATAAGCCAAACAGCGGCTCAGGTCTGATTCTGACGGAAAACTAAATGCATGCGTGAATTACACGGGTGATATGGTTTGGGAATGTGTGGTTATACACCTCACCCATAGACAGTTAACTGCTCTCACTTCTCGCCTTTTTATAAAACTGCATAAA